GGCTGGCCCCGGGGGCCCCGCCAGCCTGGTCCCGGGAAGAGGGGAAGGGCTGGGGGGCATCGGGTGGGTGGCTTGATCCATGCCAAGTGCAGGGTCTGCTGGCTGGGTGCTGGCAGGCTTGCACCTGGCACGGGCACTGTAGCCAGCCCGTGCCCCTTTAAGAGCTCCGGGGCCGGGAGGGGGGCAGACGAGTTTCCCTGGTGTTGGCCAGAGTGGCCACCAGGGAAACCTGGGGAGGGCTAGCCTCCCACTAGTTCGAATTAAGGGGCTACACAGCCCTTAATTCGAACTAGTAAATTCGAACTAGACTTAATCTTCGTGGAATGAGGATTACCTAGTTCGAACTAAGCGCTCCGTTAGTTCAAATTTAATTCGAACTAACGGAGCGCTAGTGTAGCGCCTATGAAAGTTAGTTCGAACTAACGTCCATTAGTTCGAACTAACTTTGTAGTGTAGACATACCCCGAGTAAAAGCTACGTGCAGTAGAAGGAATAGGTTTCCAAGAAGGGTCTCCTTCTTTGTTAGCAGTTCTTTGAATGAAATATACCATTCAGCTTCATAGTTCTGTTTCTGGTTTTAATTTAGTATAGAACCACCACTAATATTGAAAGCATGGACATGTGTGAATTTGTTTGATCAACAGAACTTTTGGCAGCAGAGGTTCTTACTATCAGGGAGCACTCTGGTAGTAAGAAGGAAATTAACTTACAATCAAGGAGTGAAATCTTGGTCTCACTGCAGTAAATTGCAAAACTTCCATTGACTTCAGTGAGGTGGGATATCACCCAAAGATATCTGGGTCACCATTTGAATTTATGCCACTTAGCACTATGCAGAATCAGCACTTGTTTTTTGCTGATACATACTCTCTTTTTTTTTTAAAGGCGAGCAGCTTGAAGTTTGTTTGCGGTTCTGCTGAGGCATCACCAGCAGTGACTTCTTGCATAAGGAAGTAAGCATTTTCTAGGACTACTCACCAGCCTCTTTATTGCTCTGTAGCAAAAAGCACAGTGGGTTCTCTTTTAGGGCATGATTACACTAGGAAATAATTTCAAAATAATAACTTCCGAAATAATTTCAAAATAAGCTTATTCGAGGAAAGCGGGAGTACAGATTTCGAAATAACCAGCCCATTATTTCAAAATAACAGGCTTGATAGTGTGGAAGTTCCACTTATTATTTCAAAATAAGGAGAGTTATTTTGAAATAACTCCCTAGTGTAGACCAGGGCTTAGACAGCCCATGGTTTTATTATCTTTGATATAATTTTTCTTCTGCCACACTTTGAATTACAGCAATTCGAATATAAATGCAAACAAAAATGCTGGCATACATTTCTAACGATTACGTTTATAGGCTCAGAACAGCCTAAGAACATTTTATACCCATATATTTTTGTTTACACTATTTAGTTGCAGGGCAATATTTCAGTTTTGTTAGCAAGAAGCTGTCTGCATTTCCTGCCATTGATGACACGTTCATATGAAAAGGACAACATGAAGGAGGAACTACTTTCACTAATTGGCAGGAATGAACTCTTGCAGTACATCTATACTGCGAAGCTATTACAGGATACCTAAGTATCTGATAATAGCTATCCCACATCTTCACAGCAAGCCTGTTATTTCAGGCTCGCTATTCCAATGTCCCTGTAAACCTCATCCAACTAGGAGTAAGGAACGTTTCAGAATAGCACTTTATTTCGAAATTTCCAAATGAAGAAATAAGCTATTTCGGAATAGCATTCAAATAAGATATTCAATTTGCACAGTTCAAATTGCATATCTTATGTTGAGTTATGGTGCAGTGTAGACACATCCTTAGAGTCTTCTGAAAGTGCTCTCTATGATCTCAAATATTAGGTGTCCTTGAAACTTAGAAATGACCACAGCAAGTCATCAGAAAGGCAAATGAGGGCATGGATATGGTCGTTCTTTTTCTTTACAAGCAAATAATAAATATTTGCAATACTTTTTGACTTCAGCAGACTTTAAAAACAATCAGAGAGATGCAAAGTCAATGAAGAAGAAGGCACTAGAGGAGGAGGGGATTTCTGGTGTTAAATAAGGGGAAGCTCTGAAAGGCACAGCCATTGCCGCAGTAGCTTGTTAGAGAAAATTGAAACATGTCTTCATATCAAGTTCCGCTCAGCAAAAAAGCTTCATTCCCTCAACAAGGGTTAGAATTAGAGCACCTTGCCAATGAACTACTTGGATTTTTTTTTATTTAATGCTCTAGGATATTCACACAAAGCTGTAGATATTGACTACAGAATATGATTTTTTTAATTGGAAGAGAACATGCCAACTGAACAATATAACAAGTGACAGCTGTTATTATTTCTAGTAAAAAAAGGCAATGGGGGGGGGAGGGAACATTTCTCTAAAAGAAAATTATTTAGTGCTAGCCTAATGGAAGAAAAACGTGAAAATTATCATGACCATCACGGATGCTGTTCAGGGACACAGGGATCTGGATACCATGGAAATGGCAATAGTATTCAGAGTTATTTTACCTGCTTCACATATAAATGAAGACTATTCAGAACTGGAGACTGTAATGATCGACAGAAAACTATGTGGCTATTAATAATTGCATATTGTTGGTTCGAGAATATGTATATGGGAAATAATGCTGGAGGTGCATAAAAAATACAGGGTGTTACCTTATGTAGAGAAAACTATGATCTGGTCCCAAATAACTAAAGCATTTAACCAACATGAAGTGGCACTGGCCTCAACAGCATCTGATCTGCAGCATTCTAACATTGATCTGAGTAAAATATGACACCTATATTTGTAGATTTTTTTCCCTGGAGTCCTTTTCTTTCTTCACTATGAATCCCCTGCTCCTGACAGCCCTTTTGCAAGTTCTTAACTTCAAGCATGTGTAGTCCCAGGCAATGGATTTTCAAAGAGAGAAGTGATGTGCCAAAAGCTAAGCAAGTGTGTACTGGTAGCTTGTAAGTGCCTCAGAGGCTGAAGTCAAATTCAGAGGTGAGTAGCATCTTGCAGGACTGGACATTTAGACCCAAAAATAAGTTGGAAGACATAGGCCTCTCAATCATCGTAGCTTTCGGCACCAATAGGCAGAACAGCTAATCAATAAAGGACTTGTGCCACTTTTCTGCTTTCAAGGTTACAATATGCAAAACAAAGTTTTGTTCTTTCTTTTGCTTTTTTGCAGCTGTAGGCATTTTCCCCATCTGTAATTTGTTGAGCTTCTGCCAAAGTATTCAAATTTAAACTCATAGTTTTCCCAACTTATGCACCCAAAGTGCTTTTCATGTTGAAAATCATGGATGATCTTCTCCAAGATCTGATACTTACATGACTCATAAGAGGTTTTCATTCTGCTTTTCTGATGTTGTGCCCTGCCTGCCAATACAACTAAAATCTCAGCTCTTCAGTCACTCCAATATATGCCTCCTGAATCATTAGTCATGAAAAGAGCACAATTTCATTGCACTGTTTTGTAAAAAAAAAAAAAAAATCACGCAGCCTTACACTCTTCTCATTATTCATTCTGAGTTGCCAGGCTGTAATAGATGCAGATGAACATGAATTTCTGCTAAACGTTTCTCTCTGTGGGTCGAGAGTCCACATATTATTACAAAGCAGATGATACATTATTTAGTAACATTACAGTAAGAAGAATAAAAAAATTAACCGCAAAATTATTCTTTGCTTGGGAGGAATACATAAAATTCACTCAAAAGACTGGGTAACAAAGAAAAGTATTAAAAAGAGAATTATAACATGCTGAGATTTTTCTCCCCTTCCAAATTACAGACATGTCAGTGGATAAAAATATTTTGCCCTCCCGTCCAAAAAGAGAGATGCATCAGTAAGAAAGTTAAAAACACAACCAGGAAGATGCACATAGGCAATCTGGGATTTTGATGGTCACATTTTAAAACCTCTTAAGTGTGTAGAATCTATTTTGACTATATCCACACAGGGCAAATTCACTCCTATTCAGAGCGCCAATAAAATTTCTATGCGCCATCTAGGTACCCCCGAAAGCTTTCCAGGCAACAAAGTTCCATGACACAACATTTAAGAAAAAGTTTGTTGCCTTTAACATTGGAGAACTTATGACATGTCTGCAGAGACCTTCCTGAATTCCCTAATAAATGCAGAAATCCAGCCAAATAGCTCTTGAGAGTCTTGATCTGGTAGTTCCCCAAATTTTACCTGTGAATTTGAAAGAGAAAAAATACTAAACATTTAACATTATCCAAATCCTTTGAGCAGAATTCAAGATAAGATTAAGTGCATTTATTGTTATTGGTTTATGATTACAGGAACATCTAGAGGCCACAGTTGAGACAGGGGCTCCCTTTGACCAGATATCATGCACATATATACTAATGCATTGTCCATGCTGCAAAGAGTTTAAAAATCTAACATGACAAATCAGAGAATGGAAATATAATTACCACAGTTTTACAGATGGGTAATACAGAACAAAGGGCTTCATCCTAAAAACTTTAATTGACATTAATGGTGGAGGATCAAGCCCAGAGACCCACGTCTCAGAACAGTGCATTTAGCTCAATGTTGTCCTTCCCCTCAATTTAGTATTCATCTGTGGTTTCAACTCATGTATCACCAAAATTCTAAATCCAGCCAGAAATCATCAGAATGGATCACTGGACCACAGTGACAACTGAGAGAAAAGGGATTAAATAACCGTGGAAATAGAGCAATCCCTACTGCTGATTTCTTCATATCTCAACTGAGACCAACAGAGGGGGCACTGTGGCTAAAATTATAATTGTTGCCTGTGATTTGGCTAAATGTGTAACTTTTGTGTTCTGGGATAGCAACTTAATAGATTACACAATAACCACATTAAGTTTTCAGACTATTTTTAATTAAATCAATTAGCCAACCCACAAAAATTAGAGCTGTTCAAAAAAAAAAAAGGAGAAATTCATGATAAAGAACATCTTTTCTTGTTTTTATCTGAAATTTTAAAAAAACATATTTAATTGACTAGCTCTAGATTTGGTAAAAACATAGTCAGAAGAACAATTAAAAATTTCATCCACTGTTTTCTTCGTTATTTTTGCAAGTTATGAAATTTCCTCATAGATTGCAAAATTCCAATCATTTCAACCAGCTCAGATAAAAATAGCAAAGTTCTGGGGCGAGTATCTCTCAGTGTTTCTTGCTGAAGTTGTTCCACTTTGTATAAAATTCTTAAAGTATCCAGTAAGAAGAATGAGACAGAGATTGATTCTATAGCACTATGGTTAGGGCACTCACGTGGACTGGGGGGGGGGGGAATTGAATTTCAGTCCCTGTTCCAATTAATATTTAATTATTTGTATTAAAAAAAGTACAACGTCAGCAAAAGAGATTGATGGGCACACACCCTATGAACTAGAGGTAAGAGTGCTCCCATGAGAGAAAGGGGGCCTTTCACATACTACACAAATTCCCTAACCACTAGATTACTGTGTAGGAGCAGGGGATGGCATTACCCCTGCTTTTGTTTTCTGACTCTAGTCCCTTCTTTTTGTCAAAACAAAACATTGAGTTTCAGGTTGAATGACACAGTTATTTCACCTGGTACTTTTTTTTTCTTTTGATTCACCAGAAATTCAGAAATTTTCAGTTTCTCTCAGATCAGAGACTTTAGCTGCTCAAAAACTTTAAAAAAAACCTCTTTACACAGCTCTACTCATCGTCCTATTATCTTCTATAGTCCCAGCACCTGGTCTTGTAGGGACTGTCCAGTTTGGCCAATACAGATGTCAGAAGAGTTAATGGACACAAATGAGATATCCAAAAAGGCAACACACAGAAACCTGATGGGGACCATTTTAACTTTCCCAGGAATTCATTAATGGATCTCAAAGTCACGGTATTGTTTCAGGCCAATTTCACAAGCCAACTCCACAGGGAAGCCTAGAACTTAACTTCATTTACAAGTTTGATTCCTATAACAGAGGTACGAATAAAGACATTGGCTGGATGGCCCGCTACATTCCATATCCTGATGCCATAAAAAACAAACAATGGGAACTTAAGAACAATTTCTACCTTCTCTATCATCTTCATGTAGCATGGACACTCTCATTGATTATTTCTTGCCCCTTTTTTTCCTGTCTTTTTCCTTCTGTCCCCTCTCCTATCCCCCCTCCCCCCATCCCCTATTTATTTAGAAACTAGACCTTTAATAACTCCATTCATCTGAAGAAATAGGTTGCGCCTATGAAAGCTCATGATAAATAACATCTACATATTTTGTTAGTCTCTAAGTTGCTGCAAGACCATTTGTCTGGTATTTCTTTGGGGCAAGCCTGTTTATTTACAAATGAATGCACACTAAGGCTGTGTCTACACTGGGCCACTTATTCCGGAAAAGCAACTGCTTTTCCGGAATAACTTGCCAGCTGTCTACACTGGCCACTTGCTTTTCCGGAAAAGCAATGACGATCTACTGTAAAATTGTCAGTGTTTTTCTGGAAAAACTATGCAGCACCCGTTCGGGCAAAAGTCCTTTTCCGGAAAAACTATTCCGGGAAAGGGCCAGTGTAGACAGCACAGTAGTCTTTTCCGCAAAAAAGCCCCGATCGCGAAAATGACGATCGGGGCTTTTTTCCAGAAAAGCGCGTCTACATTGGCCACAGACGCTTTTCCGGAAAAAGTGCTTTTCTGGAAAAGCAGCCTGCCAATGTAGACGCGCTTTTTCCAGAAATACTTATAATGGAAAACTGTTCCATTTTAAGCATTTCCGGAAAAGGGTGCCAGGGTAGACGTAGCCAAAGTGTACTTTCCCTGACAGAGTAGGCACATTCAGGAAGCAGTTTCCTTGTTCAGAAATCCAAGCTTGATTTCCAGTCAATCCTGTGCTCAAGAAGCTCCTCCTCCTCCTCTACTCCAGCTCTACTCCTCAGGACACACTTCCTGTTTCTCTCATGATCTCCTGGCTCACTTACTCTCTCTCAAGCAACTAAATCAATGCCTTTGCATTTGCCATCAGTCCCAAGGAAACCTCTTGGCCCACAGTCCTGCCTCTCCCCTGGGCCTACAAACAGTCTAGTGCCTTGGACTGTGGCTTCTATTGTTTCAGATATCACTAAGAAAAAGGTCATTTAATTGCTTCCTTATTTCACCTGAATGAAAGATAACTGGCATGTTCAGTTTGTGACATCTGTAATAGATCAGGAATCAAAGATATTTTTGGGCAGTGACTAATAAACTCCAGCATAACACCACTATTGCTACAGCCAGAGGAATTGAGCTGGTGATACTCTGATAGCAGATTTTTTTTAAATGTCATTGTGGAAAAAGCTTTAAAATTTTTGTCACCAAGTTTCTCCCCAGGTGACTCTGCCCTCCCTCCTCCCCCCTTTTTTGAATTGCCTTGGGTCACCAAGTCTTCCTGAATTGTCAAAATGGGTCCCCATCTGGAAAAGGTTGGGAACCGCTGGTCTATTCAAATGCTAGCTATTTATTCATTTTGTTTACCATGAACCCTTAAGCTCTACTTGTTATATAACAATGGTTAGAAATTTCAAGGTGAGCCCCTGCATTTCCTGTTATCGATAATAGCTGGAGGTGCATAGCACTGATCTATATACAATGTGGAACATGGTATTTCTTACCAACGTTGCACATAAATTTTTATGTACTGAGGAAAGTATCTAAGTCATGTGCGAATTGCATTTATGGAAGCTTGTGCATTTTTAGAAAATAGCTTTTAAAAAGAAAGATGTCTTTCAATTAAGTTCTAATATAATATATACCAGTGTTTCATTGTAGAGCTTCTTCATTTCATCGCATCTTTTTGACAGTTGTGAAAGGTGTCCTTCATACTTCTGAATTAGATCCTGTAATACATTTTTTTTAAACCCACAATCTTGAATTAATACTAGGACATGGTATGAAAGCAATACTTGACAGCTGTCAGATGATTCATTGATAACAACAAAAAAAGAGAATGCAGGTCAAATTTTCCAGAAATGTTCCACAAAGAATGCAAGATATGCAACATACCCACAATTTTCTGCATTTCCATAAATATGAGGTCACTGAAGTCAATGAAAGAGTTTCAGAATTTGAGACCTCTCAGAATTTTGCGCACTGGCATTAAATCTATTCAAAGTGATCGAAGTACAAAATGTAAGTTACAAATTATTGGGACTTGATTTTCAGGAGATTTGCTCCCTGAACTTTAATATCACTGTTGCTGCATTCTAATACTTGTGCATTCAGGATTTATTGCATCAAAAATATGCTCAACTTAAGAGTAAGTATTCACGTCCAAGTTATCTGCTGGAAATAAGGCTACAGCATTGTACATTTTGAAATGGCATGTTTCTTAACAGCTGTTCTTTTCTAATTTTTCTTTTCTAAAAACACCTCAGCAGCCCAACACTGTGGCACTTAATTTCAGAAAGGGGAACTACACAAAAATGAGGAAATTAATTAAAAAGAAATTGAAAGGTACAATGCCAAAAGTAAAATCCCTGCAAACTGCATAGAACCTTTTCAAAGACACCATAATAGAGGCCCAACTTAAATGTATACCCCAAATTAAAAAACACAGTAAGAGAACCAAATAAGTGCCACCGTGCCTTAACAACCAAGTAAAAGAAGCAGAGAGAGATTTTTAAAAAAGCATAATGTAAAAAGTGGAAGTTAAATCCTAGTGAGGAAAATAGAAAGGAACATAAACTGTCAAATTAAGTGTAAAAATTTAATAAGAAAAGCTTAAAAGGAATTTGTAGAACAGCTAGCCAAACACTCAAAAAGTAATAGCAAAATGTTTTTAAGAACATCAGAAGCAGGAAGCCTGCTAAACAACCAGTGGGGACACTGGACAATTGAGATGTTAAAAGAGTACTCAAAGATGAGTAAGGTTATTGTGGAGAAACTAAATGAATTCTTTGTTTCAGTCTTCACAGCTAAGGATGTTAGTAAGATTCCCAAACCTGACCCATTCTTTTTAGGTGACAAATCTGAGGAATTGTCCCAGATTGCGGTGTCATTAGAGGAGGTTTTGGAACAAATTGATAAACTAAACAGTTACAAGTCACTAGGACCAGATGGCATTCACCCAGGAGTTCTGAAAACTCAAATATGAAACTGTGGAACTATTAACCATGGTTTGTAACCTATCCTTTAAACCAGCTTCTGTACCTAATGACTGGAAGATAGTTAATGTGATGCCAATATTTAAAAAGGGCTCTAGTGGTGACCCTGGCAATTACAGGCCAGCAGCAATGGTCTGAGGTGGGCTGCAGCAGCTAGTGCCTGCAGAGCCGTCAATGCACTGACATCATCATCGTGGAATTAGGAGCAACGGTAGTTCGAATAAGGATCTTTAATTTGAACTAACTACTCCGTGCCGCGTGTAGCCGTGGGCACGGAGTTCAGACTAAGGGGGATTTAAAAATGGCGGCGCCCGGGAACATGCAAATGAAGCCCGGGATATTTAAATCTGGGGCTTCATTTGCAACTCTGCTTGCCTTCATTACCCTACCTAGCTCGAACTACCGAGCTAGTGTAGACAAACCCTAAGAGATAGTGTGTGGTTATGTTACTACTGGAGAAGCCAGGAGGAAGACAGGAATGTGGAAAATCTGTGTGTCTGCCATTGTCCCTGCTTTTGGGGACAGAGTCAACCACACAAAATCTATTCTTGGGGTAGCATTTTCCCTACTGTGCCAGTGCAGCTCTGACATCATCTTCATTGTGGGGGAGGAGTAGGGCTCTGCCACCCCCCTTGCCCAGCTGCTAAAGGATGGGATATAGCAGCTCTGTGGAGCCTGCTCCCTTCCTCATTCTGCTACCTATCCTGTTAGTAGTAAAACCAGTTGAAAAAAAAAAGACTAAACTTTTTCAGGCGAAAAATGCCTTTTTATCAAAACCATAGTGCTTTGGGAACATTTCTCAGATCCAGGATGGAATTTCTAGTCAGAAAAGAGACACCTCTCTGAGCATCATCACGAGTCTGGGTGTCACCACATTCACCAGCCATATGGAAGACCCAGGCTCAAACTCCTGCTCTGCTGGGTTTGGAGTAGGGACTCGAATCTGGGTTTCACATTTCCCCAGTGAGTGTCCTCGGCACGAACCTATCAGCTATCTTGGAGCAGCCCCCCCCCCCCCCACCCCTGATGATTTTTTGCAAAAAATTTTCACAAGGTCTAAGTTTTGTTCTGTGTTGGAACAAAAAAACAGATTCTAAAGTCTCCGGAATTTTTCTGAACCAGAAGTGTTGGTTTGCAGCCAGCCCTAGTAAGCAGCCTTCACAGAGACAACCATCTCTTTGTACCCCATTATACCAAGCCAAGTTACATTGAACCCTAACCAAGTAAAACACATTAGACCTCAGCAGTTTACAGTCTAAATCTAAGTTCTGGTAAATGTTACCTTTAATTCTTTGCAGAACTGTGACTCTTGAGTTCTTGCTTTCATAGTCTTGGACTTGATAATCTTTCGGTACTCAATAACGTTTTCCAATTCTTTCTTTAAAACTAACCACAAAAGAAAGGGATCAATGCAAGAACTTCCATTCCAGGCGCACACACTCTGCTGTATAAAGGCCTGCCTTTGCCTCACAGAAAAATCACACTGATTTGAACCTTCAGCTCCATAATAGCGGCTGCTACCATTTGAGCTACAGGACTAACTGCAGCAGGTGGCAGCAAGAGAAGGCTATTATTCCAGAGGTAGGATGGACCACTGAATCCAGGTGCTGGGTTCTACAGGGCTGACTGAGAGTGCAGTCCCGTCCTCTTTCTCCTCTACCCCTGGAGTTGGAGGAGTTCCTGCCTTATGTGGTGCCCCCAGGAGGTAGGACTGGCCCCTGAGGCCACATGCTGGGTATGGGATTAGATGAGGGGGAAGACTGATCCATCAATTTCTTTCTCCTTCCTTCACCTGGAGAAATGGGGGAGCTCCATCTAGTACCTTCAGAGGGAAGGGGAATGTACCATGTAAAGGGTTCAGGGCTGTCAGGGAGCCCAGTCTAGTTCTCTTTTTCCAGTTCCCCAAAACTATAAATAATCTGGCAGTTCCTAGTAGTTCCAAGCACACAGTGTTTGTTGTTGCAGATTTGGCCATGGCAGCATGAGCCTGGCCTTAGAATGGTCATTGATTTAGGCAGGCTGCCAAAATGCTCCCAAGAAACACAAGTGACAGAAGGGAAATAGCTATTTTAATATTTTATAGCATAGCAAAAGCTGAGTGAAATCTGAGCGAAATTTCATAGGGCGAGCTAATAAAGCACTTCTATAGCCCAAGGGTATATGCCCGATCAAAGGCCTACTGCAAACAGACACACAAGAGCTTCTCAGAAGGGTCATCCTTGTCCATATGCCTCAGTATACACAGCTGAATAAGGCACCTGAAAATTTGGGGGCACCGCTGGGTCTTACTGTCCACCCACCCGCCTCTTCCTCTCCCTGTTCTGTGGCTTTGCTTCCTCCAGGGAGAATTCTCGTTAACTTCAAAGTGAAAAAGCCTGCAAGAGCTATCAGCAGATTTTGAACCTGTGAAAGGGCCATTGAAGTGGTAATGAAGCCATTTAACAGGCATTTGCCAGCTCCAGCAATATACCGTCAGTTTCTGAATTTACTGTGTTCATCGACAGGTCCGTATTTTAAAATTTGTTTTAAAACTATTTCATTAGTGTGTTGCTGAAGTTTATAAAATCACATCTCTAAAAAATTGTCACCCCCTTCCTCCCTGGGATTTCGTCAGGCAAAGAGGCACCAGTTTAGTAGTACTGCCCCATAAATCCTTCGTCTGGCCCTGCTTCTCTGAGTAAATATCACCAGGATCTTTTATAAGGACTGCCAGCTCTTCCTATAGTTAGTGCTTCTGTCATTTTGCCTAGCATAAAAGATGAACATCTTGGTCAATAGTTTCAATCATCATCCCTAGCACACTTTTGTAAAAGGTGAATGAAGCTTTTGTAAGCCTCCTGCTTCTGATAAAACTGAAATACATTTTTATTTGTTTTTTCTGCCTTTACTGGTCTTCAAGGCCCCAATCCAAAACCCATTCACTTCAATGGTCCTCATACCAATGAATTCAATACCTCTTTACATGTAGCCTCAAATTCCCTCAAAACCCCCCCACTTGCTATCTCATATATGAAGTTTTGCTCCTTTCTACTGACTTCACTAGAGGTGCATTGTCACTTTCTAAATGATACTGGTTTAGCTCAAATGGGTTCTTGAACTTCATTACTTAACTATATTCAGTTTCTCCTTATTTTTCTGCTGCCTTCTGTGACTTTCCTAGAAGTAATTTTGATAAAGCACCTGTATCATTTAACATCTGAGTTTCAAGCAAATTTAATGGATTTTGCTATTATCAGGCAGTATATTTCTGATAGATCATTTCTAAACCACATGGACACACAAATATTTCATTTTAAATTCCACATGATAACATGACAGGTTATATATAGCCATGGCAACCTGTTACCTCAATATTTTGAACCTTTACTTCCTTTACAAACTACAAAATAAATGCAATGAAAACCTGTTTCGAGTGACTGCACAACTTATGAAAGCGTTTCCGTGAATTTAGAAAACATATTTACATACCATCAACTTCAGCACGGAGACCTTTGATGGAAGCTGGAAAGGAACAGAGTGGGAGGTTGGAGAGAGAGGAAAAAATGTTAATAAAAATTATGCACATATTGTGAAGATGGAGACTTTTGCAAAGCGGGTTTTTTTTTTATTCTCTTACCACCAGGAACAGCTTCAAATTCTGTCAACTCCTGAGAAAATTTAGCCAAATCAGGCTCATGTAAGAAGATCTGTTCCACAAGGGCATGAAGCAAGGTGATCTTCTTCTCCTTACCCCGCAGCAATGATAACTGCAAATAGAATACAGCAATAAATTGACAGTCTGAGATATTAGACGTTTAAAAAAAAATTGGAACAGCAGGGATGTTGATAGCTCCTAGGTAAATTTGATGGGAATAGAAAACACAATGGAATTAAACCTTTTTCTTTTCAATCTTCCATCCCAGATACATTTTTGCTTAAAATTAACTTTGCATTTTCTTAGATCCTTTCTTCTTTTTGTAATGTCTCATTTTACTTTTGCCTTTTTTTTTTGTTCTTTGAAACTTAAGATCTCTTAATTGACTGCCATGGATTCTGCATCTCCACATATGTGCCCACTCTGGCTCCCATTTATGGGGTGTTCATGTAGATAGTAAAGTTCCTTCCCAGAATTTGGGAAGATGCTTTGTCGCAGAACATAATTTTGAATATATTTTTCATTAATATAGATATAGCATTACAGTACTTAGAAACTGTCTGAGAACTGGCACTCACGTTATAAATTACACACTCACATATTAAAGTCTCCTGCGGGAAAAGAATTCTGAATAATTAAAAAACCTTCTCTTCTAGTTACAGACCAGGCATAACCTGAAAATATTCTTAAAAGGTTCAAAGCAGTTTATAGAATGTGCAGTCGATTCTTAGTTCTGGGATCAGAGTATATTGTGTTAGAGCTGAGTGAAGCGAGGAAGAGGTTGCATGGACAGGAACTGTACTCAGTGGCAACATTTTCTGCTGACAAATCTTCAGGAGGCAGGGAAAGATGTGAGGGAAAATTCAACCCTTGTAAGTGCTAAGTTAGTTAAGAGATTGTTTAAGAACTAAGGGCCAAATGATGGTTGTCCCAGGGTAAATGTGGCAAGTGTATAGGATTGATGTGGTTTTATAGGGTTAATATAGCTGATGGAGGCAGTTGGGCACTAAGGGTGTGTCTAGACTACAGGGTTTGGGGGGGTTTTTTCGAAAAAAGGCTACTTTTTTTTAAAAAAACTTCACCTGCGTCTAGACTGCAGCCAAGTTCTTTTGAAAGTAAATCAAAAGAATGTGGCAGTTTTTTCGATCACGGTAAACCTCATTTTACAAGGAAGAACGCCATTTTTCGAAAATACTCTTTCAAAAAAAGGTGCTATTTAATATAAACTGTGCTTTTTTGAAAGAGAGCATCTAGACTCTCTTTCGAAAAAGTGGCTCGCTTTTTCAAAAAATCTGCTTGTAGACTAGATGCTCTCTTTTGAAAGAAGCTTTTTTGAAAGATTCTTTCAAAAAAGCCTCTTTCGAAAGAGGCTTGTGGTCTAGACATACCCTAAAATGGCCAGCATTCTGAACAGCCCAGAATGGTTATATCAGGATGGAGGGATGCCACCTTGGGCTGGGTAAACTGTGCTGGGGGATTGAATCCTTTGCCTTTGAAAAGGTGCAGCAGGTACCACAAGTAAACACGGCTCTTCTCCAAGCAGCTCTCAAGCTTTTCTGACTGCTGCAGGCGTAATGATTCCTGTCACCAGTGCTCATCTCCCTTCCCCTCCTGCACAGCTCTGCTGCGCCTGGCAGCCTTCCTCCAGCCCTTAGTCTAAAGAATCCTTTAGAACCTTTTTAAATTTTACATAGAGCAGTCTAGTGCATTTTGATTGAGGTGGAACCCAACTTTCTTGTATAGGTTCCTTTTTTCCTCAAAGGTTCAAGGTTCCCCAGTTCTTGGTAACCCTAAAACCCTGCACCATTGTCTGATCCATGCATGGAGAACCTGAAGTTCTCTCTTTCTTCTTGGCACCACATGTGGGCCATTTCAGAGAATGAACCATGGAGGTCCCAAACTTTAATCTCTTATCTAGCATCCTAAACTTTGCCTTCAGAACCTCTCTCTTACCAGACCATGTACCATGACCAGTGGCTCCTCCCCAGCACTGAATACAAATGTGGGCATCCCGTAAAACTGTGATGTTTGCACCCAGTACACAATTTACCTTCTGATAATACAAACCCAAATGTTTCTCTAATAATAAAATCCCCCATTGCTATTACCTTGCTTTTCCTAGTAAATAAGGGCCCATCTCCAGGAGTGGTATCCTCACTGCAAGAGGATACTATAACATCATTGGAAAGGAGGGTTCAGTGGTGGGACTTATTCCCTTTGCTTCAGTTTGAGGTTCTCCTTCTCTGAGATTTTCACCCTCCTTGATAGCACAGTGATGATGTGACAAAGTAGAAAATTTCTATGGGTGTGAACTGTTAGCTCTCAGAGCAGTAAGAGACAGATGTATGAATGTTACCAACAACCTGGGCCTCAGCTGGTCATTTGAGAAAGGACTGGCCGAGGTCAATCACATACCAGGACATTGGCTTCTCGCAACCAACAACCCAGAGGAATATAGACTCCCCCCATCCCCCACATCCCCACCCCCAACAAGGAAGCTGAGTGAAATCTTCTAATCTGAGAACAAAGGATGGGGAAGGTTTGAGGTGGGAGATAAGAGTTATCTGCTCTAAGGAGTCAGGACAGTCACCCGAAAAGTGACCAAGAAGGTCAGACATAGAGACACACTGCTTGAACAGGGGGGTTCACTACAATCTAGGTGAGGTTCGGGGCTAACCAGAATGATCAATGCTTTAACCTGCAGTTGTCTGTGCTAATCTAGGACCTTCTGTGTTCCAGTTGACTAAGAAACCCAACTGTTTCCACAAAACTTTTGTTTGAGCCTCACTGCAGATGCTTGGTGAACAATGTTCCCTCGTAGTTTTTTTAATCTATGTGTGGAATAAATTTTGTTAGGTGCACCATAGCCAGTGCAGTTGTGCACCACCAGTAGAAACACATGCTACTGGCTATGGGAACTCTACTAATCAGCTGTGTGGCACCTGGATCTCTCCCGAGTGATTGCCCAAGCACTTAGTTTACAGGGACCACTGTTGATGAGATGTGTGGGCCCTCCTGCCAGGCTGGGAGTGGAGTGGAGCTCTGAAGCTCTGTGGCTCTGCGACGTTCCCAGGCAAGCCCCCAAGCAGAGGTAGAATCCACACGGGAGGAGAAACTATGTGGGGGTTAGGGGAGGAGACAAAGGAAGCCTCAAGCCCTGGCAAAATCATTGCAGAGGGGTCTCAACTGCATAGGTCCCCTTCAAGTGTAAGGACAGCCCTGGGCATAGCACTGGCCCCGTGGATCTGTGACAGGTTGTCTGATTGGAGGTGGAACACTCTTGTTCCCTGAAAGTCTCCTCTCCACAGGCCCACTGATTGAGGGGGAAGGAAATGGGCAACTGCCCCGGGACCCAGAGAGTCAAAAGGGCTTAGGGTTCCAGGCCACCACCACTGCTACTGTGGCAGTGGTGGTGGCGGAAGCTCCAGGCCCTTTAAATTGCTTCCAGAGCCCCACACAACTAGATCTGAGTGCCTATGAGGGCTGGCTGGGGGGCAATATGCTGTAGCATGGTATGAGTGGTGCTAAGGGCTGGCTGACTCCAACCTCGCCCTTTCTGGGAGCAAGGCACTTAACCCTCCCTCCATCTCTACCCGTCAGCCACGTCCCGCCTCCACCTGCCTCTCTTATCTCCTCCAGTGCAGACACAGAGCCTGTCCTGCCTCTCTGACAGACATGAGATGCTAGGGCTTTACGCTTTCCTATGCCAACTGCCCATAAGGCAGGTCCTTGTACGTGCCGAATTCAGAGTAATAAACTTGGCAGCACCTCTTTGCTGCTGGACTTGTGTCCACATTCTTTTTATGACCACGGGTCTTTTCATTGGGGAGAGTTATTGGCCTAAGATTGGAGTATGTTTATTAAGTGTATGGTGGAGGAAACTTTCTCTTCTCCCTTTTTCCTCCCTTCTGTCTTTCTTTTTCTAGAAGGCTTTTCTGGCCCCCTTCTAGCACTTTGGTTAAAATCTCTTAGCCGCCTCCCCTGTCACTGAACACTCCTTACAGCTGAACATCCCTCATTAGCTCACTCGGTCTTGTGCTCTGTCTCTGGCATTGGGGTTGTCTCTGCTCTAGAGCTGGACTTAGAAGAAATGCCTCTTGCACTAGCTTTCTAAACACCCTTGCAAAAGTCCTTTGATTACTCAGGAGTTGGCTGTTCTCACTGAGTCATTCCTGCCCCCTTGTTAAGGGATTCTTAAGGGTAATGGATCAACGGACAGCAGGCTACAGCCTCGTTCGGAAGCTCTCAGAAGTTAAAGACAATTTGTTAACCCGTTTTGAACCTAGATGTGCTTGTCCGGGCTAAAAGAAAATCAAGTTTAATGTTAGGTTAATGAACATGCTTCATAACACAGTTTTCAATGCTAGGAAAAATTTGAATTTACTTTGGTCAAAGAAGACAATCGAAATCCTTTGGCCAGCTTTCTTCCAGCATTTTCATTTAAGTAGTTCCCAATGGCTAAGATGTACTCCAACACAGCGACAAATTTCTGGCTGGCTTGAAGCTGTTTGCATGCTCGGATCTTCTGGTTTATTAGCTGAAACACAAAAGCCTGACTTCAGTTCATCTGGAAGGTGGGAATGAAATGAGCTCTTTATCTCTCTCTTTGCGAGATCTAACTGTTTAGCTAAAGTATACAAGCTTTATTTTAGCTGTTGTAAACCTGTCTTTACATTAATTTATCTAGGAGGATAGGCCAGAAGTTTTCACAATCCCCTTTTTCCAATTCTGCCATCAAGATAAAAGGAGTGTTAGCAAGATTTCCCTGTTTCTGATGAAGATGTGCCCTCCCTGAATCCTGCCAAATTATTCATACCAGAAAGGATTTATTCTTAGTTTCATAAAATACCATGAAGAGACTATACTTTGCTATTGGAATAAACCAGATTGTACCAACTCCCAGGGGAAATGGATAGCCTGGAGCCCACCAGAATGTGTCTATCCTTCTTCCCTGTCTAAGGATGTCAGCTGGACACTGTAATATTCCTTCAAAACAATCCAGACATTTTTCCAGGGACAAACCTAATCATTTCCAACAATCAAAGTTAATATCACTGCTTGCTAGTGATGCTGCCTTCTTTCTATGGTTAGAGATGAGAGATCATTAAAAAAAACAATAGGAAAAAAAAGTGAATACATTCTCCAATTCCTCACACTTTCTATGGGCAAGATACAAAATGTACAAAGTTGGTGAGAAGGGGGAAAACCCTTGTTAAAATATGAGCTGTACATCAGAATCAGGCATTGTACTCAAGTTTATTGATAATACACTGCTATTTTATGTATAATTCTATCCAATACACATGTATGTTATCAAGCCCAGGTAATGAGACACCTAGGGAACTAATACTGTGCAGTGAGTTGTAAATCTCCCTTGATTTTATTATAACTTAGAGCAATCATTATGCCACATTCCCCACATATTCACAGTTATTTTATTTCAGTGCAGGATGGCAGGAGTGTAACACTGAGCTTGACAGGGTCAGAAAAGTGTGTCTCTCCAGTGTTCTCTGTCTGCTCTTCTTCTGAGCTGTGCTCAGTGTTACTGTGGTTTTAATTAGAACTAGGACTGCCAACCCTCCAGGACTGTCCTGGAGACTCCAGGAGTTAAAGATGATGCCATGTGATGAATGCTCCAGTAATATGTGCAACCAAAATTGGCAACCCTAATTACAGCTGACATTTCCATTTGGAGGCAACTTTCATTTGTTTTCACTCCACTACAACATGAAAACAAAATCTTTTGAACATTTTTGCAAAGCCTGATTTTGTCACAACGTCCATTTTCAGCTCCAAATGTGCACAGCCCGGTGGTTAGGGTTCAGGCCTGGGACTGAGGAGATGCAGGATCCAGTGTCTGCTGTACCTGGCTCAGGGTAGAGGATTTTTTTTTCTCAGCTCGCTCTGATTCAGCAAGAATGGGGCGTCGAACTTAGGTATCCCAGCTCTTTGGCCAGTCCAGGATTCTAATTAGGCTAGGAGTCAGTGAGTACCTAGTTCTGAGTGTACGTATGTGTGTCTCTTTCATCAAAACCAGTACATCTCTGTGAAACGTTCGGACGTCATGAAATGGATCCAGCCAGCTCTGATTTTAACGCCATTCCTGTCGGCTGCCAGGGCAGGGGGAGTGGAAAGTGGAAGTTGCCCCGGAGCCTGGCAATTCAAAGGGACGCAAGAGCCCCAGCGACTGCCACAGCCTGGAGCCCCGTGCCCTTTAAATCACCATTGGAGCACTGCGCCACATGTTCCAGGTGGCTCTAGGAGCTGGGGGGTGGGGCGGCATGGCATGCACCAGGCAGCACAGAGGGATGGCTACCCCCAACTCTGCTCCTTCTGCCTGAGGCCCTGTCCCTTTTGAGAGCACAAAGCTGAACCTCCACCTTGCCCAGGAGCCTTCAGAAGCTGTCGGTGCCCCCAGGACTGCCTGGTCAAAAAGATACTAGTGGCTCCAGTCAGTACCACCGGGCCTTTTAAAAATCCAGTTGACAGTGCAGTGGGACTAAGGTAAGCTCCCTACCTGCCCTGACTCTGTGTGGCTCCCAGGAGGTGACTGGCAAGTTCCTTTGGCCCGTAGGCACATGGGCAGCCAGGGAGGCTCCATGTGCTGCCCTCGCCCCAAGCGAATCATAGCCAATGGGAGCTGTGGGGGTGGCGCTTGTAGGAGGAGGCAGTGCACAGGCTCCCTGACCCTCCTGCCTAAGAGTCACATGGACCTGCTGGACAGGAGCCACTTTAAGTAAGTGCCATATGGACACCGCACCCCCTCATGCTCCAACCCCGAGCCCCTTCCCATACCCTGAAAAAGTTGGCCTCAGACCAGAGCTGTTTCTGCACTCCAAACCTCTGCCACACCCCACAGCCTGCACCCTCCCCCTTGCACCTCAACTCTCTGCTGCAGCCTGAGTTCTCTCCCATACTCAGACTCCCACCCAAAGCCCGTCCCCATCTGCACTCCGAAGTCCTCAGCCCAGAGCCCCCTTCCATACCCCAAGCTACTCACCTCAGAGTCCACACCCCCAACTGAGCTCTCACACCCACTCTCACACCCTAACCCTTCCATACCCCAAGCTACTCACCTCAGAGTCCACACCCCGAACTGAGCTCTCACACCCTAACCTCCTGCCCCAGCCAGGTGAAAGCGAGGGAAGAGGAGGGGAGATGATAGGAGCAGATGTGCCCTTGAGAAAGGGGCAGGACAAAGGTGTTTGGTTTTGTGCCATTAGAAAGTTGACAACCTAGTACAGGAACAAGAGGCCTGAAAACTCAGGAAGGGATTTAAACTAACAGGGGAGCACTTCCCCTGCTGGCTGACCAATGGGAGCCGGCATTCTCCCGTCACTCCACTCGGGGCTGCCAATCCAATCAGCACCAAGGTAGGACAGAAGAGGTAGCATTTAAAAAAAATCCTATGGTATTTTGCTATAGCAACTCCTCAAATACTGCAATGTCACTTATATATGTTGTTCTAGTTTACGCTTTTGAGTGGGGGAGGATTATTATTGTAGAACACTGTGGCTCTTTAAAATAATAAAGGATTCATCCACTAAGTGCCTTAATAATATTCCATACAACATCCAGAAAATGTCAAACGTGCTGATTGGTTTGAACTGTCTCATGTCATTCAGTGCTGAGGTCCTGGTTTCTACAGCTGGCATTGGGTTGATACATGACTTCAAGTTTTGGCTTATCCAAGGGTATTTTAAACACATCAGCAGGTAATACATATTATATTTCACATCTAGCCCATCTCTAATTTAGTTTCCTACTACTTTCAACTCTTTTGGCTATAAAAGCTATGAACCATATAGATCAAAACCTTTTTGTACACTGCTTTTGAATAATGCAGTGAAATGACATCTTATACATCTAGCTGCCTGCATTATTACAATATGAGCTGTCAACACGATGGCTGGTGAACTGTTTTCCCATCGAAAAGTTCACCTCGCGTACACTGACTTTTAAAATTTGCATCAAAAACATCTGGTGCTTTAAAATGTAACTGATAGGTTTCAGTTAAATAGAAACCATAAGGAAGTCATGTCACTTACAGGCTCCAGATCACCCATGCACACAGGAAGTTCTCGTATCGTAAGCAAGAGATCCAGTCTTTGGCCCAAATGAGGAATTTTACACATCTGCGGAGGATAGCATTGAATCCGAATCAGTTGCAAAATGATCATCCAGCAAATGCTGTGTGCCTCAAACATGTACTTTTAATAATGGGTTTGCTAATTCAGACAAGGTGTAGATTTTTATAGCGCTGATCTCATATATTAATTTTACACTACCCTTAAATATTTAGGCATGCAATTGCTCACATAAGGTGCATGTGCAAATAAAGCAGAGATACACAAGTATTTGGGGCCAGATATCTTTAAAAGAAATAAAACCAACCTCTTGGGAATGACAATTGGCTCTTTATACACACAGTTCTGTATCATTTCCAGTTCTGGAAATCTGGTTCAAAATAATCCAATCCCTCCTCGTGTAGATGCTCCAAGTGGCCCCGGAGCATCTACACAAACATTATTTTGGACTTACAAGTTCAGGAGCAGCATTACTCCTTGTGAAAAGCAGGACTTCAGAATTCAAATTCCACGGCCTCTTATTCTGGGATAACAGGCTTGGTAGTGTGGACGCATCACTTAGAAAATCGACCTTTGGGGGCTAATTTCGAACTAAGGTCCTAGTGTGGACCAGGCTTTAAAGACTAAGGGTATGTCTACATTAGCCCCCTAGTTCAAACTAGGGAGGCTAATGTAGGCATTCGAAGTTGCAAACGAAGCCCAGAATTTAAATATCCTGGGCTTTATTTGCATGTTCCCGTCCGGTCGCCATTTTTAAATTCCACTAGTCCGAAGTAACTCCAGTGGCTACACGCAGCAGTGAAACGGTAATTCAAACCAAGTCCTTAGTTCAAATTAACTGTTACACCTCATTCCATGTTCGAATTAGTTCGAATTACCGTTTCGCTGCCGCATGTAGCCGCGGGCAGTAACTTCGGACTAGTGGAATTTAAAAATGGCGACCAGATGGGAACATGTAAATAAAGCCCAGAATATTTAAATCCCAGGCTTAATTTGCAACTTCAAATGCCTACATTAGCCTCCCTAGTTCGAACTGGGGGGCTAGTGTAGAGATACCCTAACAGATTTATACGGGCATAGGCTTTTATGGGTAAAAAACACTTCAACATGATAAAGTGGTTTTTACCCACAAAAGCTTGTGCCCAAATAAATCTGTAGTCTTTAAGGTGCCACAGAACTCCTCATTATTTCTCCATATCCTGACTTTGGTTGAGATTAGACATATAAATGCCAAAATATCATTAAAAGGACAATTTCTTGAAGTATTTTTAACCCATGCTGCAAAAGGGAACCCCAGAAATCTCACATTACATGTTATTAATCATTGATACATTTGCTTACCTCTAGCATAAACTGATCAACCACATGTAGCTCTGAAAGCGATCCCTTGAAGGACTGATACATTTCTAAATCTTGTGGAGTTGGCAGATATCTAAGAAACAATGAATGAAAATAAATTATCCCAGAAAAATATTGTATTACTTGCAAATTTACCCAGTGTTGCCCAGTAGTGCCAAAACAGAGCACTACTTCAGATTTCTCTGTTTTATCTCTTTTCCGCAAGGTTTATTGAGAAACAAGCCTATTCAAGGTTCGTCCTACTTTCTAAAGTAGAAGATTTCTTTACAGGTTTACATCTTTAGATAATTCTCCACCTACAAAAATATATTCACAACACCACACTGTTTGTCTCTTGGTGACCTTCTATTCTTTCAGAGTACCTGACACACACACTGAATTCATAGCATATAATACAAAGGAAAAACGATACTAAAGTTTTAGCTAGTATAGGTGGGAAGAAGCATTAAGCACCTTAAGAAAAGTCAAGGTCTAATATCTGCTTTTCTTTTTTCTAACGACAGCATATTCAGTTTACAGAAAAAGTAATTAAAAGTTCCTAGAGATGAATCTACATCTTCATTAGAAACATGACAATTGATTCCAAGGTAATTAAATAATGGGAAGTTTAATAAAGCTATTAAGAAACTAAACCAAATATTTTAATGTTTTAAATTCAGGACAAATAACACAAAGGAAAATGTGTTCTAAAGCTGTCAATAACTCAGATGAATAACTGTTGGGACTGGGATTATAAAGATATAATTATGATCAGAAAATAAAATTTCCCTAGGAGAAAAGTGACTTTTGCTAAAAAAAAAAACACAATTTTTTTATCAAATCACAATGGGTGCGTCTAGACTGGCAAGATTTTTCACAAAAGCGTGTGCTTTTGTGCAAAAACTTGCCAGCTGTCTACACTGGCCACTTGAATTTGCACAAGAGCACTGACTTTGTAATGTACAAAATCAGTGCTTCTTGCACAAATGCTTTCACACTCCCGCTTGGGAAAAAGCCCTCTTGCGCAAGAATACTTGCAGAAGAGGGCCAGTGTAGACAGGGAAGAATTGTTTTGCGCAAAAAAGCCCCGATGGCTAAAATGGTGATCGGGGCTTTCTTGCACAAAATCGCGTCTAGACTGGCCACGGATGCTTTTACGCAAAAGCAAATCTTTTGCGCAAAGGAACTTGCCAATCTAGACGCGCTTTTGCAGAAATACTTTTAACGGAAAAACTTTTCCATTAAAAGTATTTCCACAAAATCATGCCAGTCTAGACACAGCCAATATGTTTGGTTTTCAGACACAAGATTTCAATTTTAGGTTTTCTGATTTAAAAACAAATCAAAAGAAAACAAAAACTTCTTAAGAAAAATTTTGTTTACTTAGGGTATGTCTATACAGCAAAGTTATTTCGAAATAACAGCCCTTATTTCAAAATAACTTTCCTAGCGTCTACACAGCCAAACCGCTATTTTGAAATAAATTCAAATTAGCAGAGCACTTATTTCGAATTTGGTAAACCTCATTCTATGAGGAATAACGCCACATTCGAAATACAGTAAAACTCCATTGGTCCGGCATCCAATGCTCCGGCACTCCTGATTGTCTGGCACCATCAGGAACCCGGAAGTGCTCCGAGCAGCTGGACAATTGAAGCTGCTCTGCGCCTGGCTTCCCTGATTCAGCCGCTGCTGAAACTGACCAGCAGCTGGATTGGGGAAGCCGGGGGCAGAGCTGCTGGGGTGCTGCAGGGGTGGTCCAGTAGCGCTGCCCCTCGGGGGACAGTCTGCAGGCGAGCGCCTTCTTGGTCCAGGGTGGAGATCATGAACCTTATTCAGGTTTGGGGGGATGCCCCCAACATCCATGATCTCCTCACTAGATGGAGGAACATGACCATCTGTGGCAGGATAGCTGCCAGCCTGCCCACCAAAGGCCACATGCGAACCCAGAAGCAGGTTTGCATGACAGTCAAGTTGGTCCAGCGAGACCCCCAACCCTGAGCCTCCCCACCCGCTTCTTTCCCTTGCTTCCCTCTTCCAGCTCCCTCCTCCCAGGTTTCCCCCTCCCCTCTCCCATCCTCGCTATTTCGAAATAACAAACTGCTATTTTAAATGCATTTTGTGTGTAGACATGTTATTTCGAAATATGCTATTTCAATATAAGATATTTCGAAATAAGGCTGTAGTGTAGATATACCCTAAAAAACCTGGTTTTTCCACGCTATTTTTTTCCAATGGAAAAATGTATACATTAGTCTAGTATATACACAGAATATTGAAAATGTAAAGCTCCGAACAATGAAAGCCAGTGCAGGAGTGAGAAAGTAAAGATTTATCTTAACTTTTCATAGATTCAGCCACCCAGCTCCTCCAATGGGATTTATATGATTGAACTCTCATAATACTATTTGGAAAAATCAGAATCACTGCAGAGACATAGGGCAAATCCTTTTTTTTTTTTTTTTTTTTTTTTTGGCTACTGATTCCAAAATTAAAATAGAGAATTCACTCTCAGAAAATAGGAATGACTTCTGAATCAAAATAACACCTATTTTTTTCCAATAATATTTAGCCAGCTCCACTAATGCAATTGGTTGTAGTGAATTTATTTCATATTTAAAAGCTGAATTTTGCCAACTAGCCATTACCTTAACATTTTAATGTTCATGTAACTGTAAAATGTTGTGCATTTAGATTTCCCATTACATTTATATGTGGTAACACATTCATTTTACACAGAAGAAGAATGCTTCAGAAATTTTTTCGTCATTCATTGAAAACATGTAAAGTATTTTGGCTCCTGTAACATACATCAGTTTCCCTAAATAAGGTGAGGCCAAGTTTCAAAAGTTCCCTCTTCAGCACATAGGAATTATCATTTTCTTAAAGGTTGTGTTGCTCTGAGTCAAATATTCTGCAAAGAAACTGCTAGGACCCAACACTTTTAAAAATCTGTCCACTTTATTTAGGTGTCTAAACTGGAACTGAAGGACACTGAACGGTTTTGAAAATTGGGCACATGTGGACTGTGTCTAGACTGGCCAGCTTTTCCAGAAAATCAGCCGCTTTTCTGGAAAAACTTGCCAGCTGTCTACACTGGCCACTTGAATTTCCACAAAAGCACTGATGATCTCATGTAAGATTGTCAGTGTTCTTGCAGAAATACTATGCTGCTCCTGTTCAGGCAAATGTCCTTTTGCGCAAAAGGGCCAGTGTAGACAGCTCAGATTTGTTTTCCGCAAAAAAGCCCCGATCGTGAAAAGTGCTTTTGCGGAAAAGCGTCTTCAAAAAAGGTGCTTTTGGGAAAAAGCATCCGTGCCAATCTAGACACTGTTTTCTGCAAATGCTTTTAACGGAAAACATTTCCGTTAAAAGCATTTGCAGAAAATCATGCCAGTCTAGACGTAGCCATATTGTCTGTTCAAATCTGTTTCAGATAAGGAGAAATAAGCTCTCAAACTCTTCCTGAAATTTGTGACTATATTCCTACACTCTGACAATACATAAGCACAGAACAGATTAGCTGCACGCTTATAGAATCTAACCCTTCACACAGCTGCATCGGCTAATGCTTCCCTCAACATCATCACTATATAAAAGAGCACTTTGAAATGCTGAAAAAAATCCCTTTCCATTTTATAATATTACTTAAGGGTATGGTGGCCATATTTCTCTATGCTGAATATGGGACACCTGGTAAAACTGTATTCCAGCGTGTTCAACAGCAATTGGTCAGAACTATGCAGTACAACTGTTCAAATTAACATCAAACTGACAGAGCCCCTACGGGATAGGTTGTAATGTAGAGGGCAAGAGCATTGTTTAATATCCAGGGTAGGGTTGCCAACACTCCAGGATTGATCTGGAGTCTTCTGAAATCAGCATCAATCTTCCGGTAACTGTTGAAATCAATCCAGGAGATTTTAATAGGATATTTTAAGAAAATATCATTATGTTGGGGGTGGGAATCTCCAGGAATAACTTCAGGTACCGGAAATCTTTCACCAGGCTATCAATGCCTGTAAAAACATAAATATGAATTTATTTGTGCCTATAATATAGGAGAGTTACTGAATTATCTAAATCCTCTTCTATAGCATGCAGGTTTTGTACAAACTTCCCCCTCCACACAGACACACAATGCACCTAATTCCAGACATGCAATACTGCTGTTCTTCCTGTTCTGATCATCTTCTAAGCCTGTGGTCCCCAACACGGTGCCCGCGGGCGCCATGACGCCCACGGGGACATTTGCATGCGCCCGCCAGTTGCTCGGGGCTGGCCTGGCCCTGGGAACATGGCGCGGCGCTTGCGGGGAGCGTCGGCCCCTGGCGTGCGGCGCTTGCGGGGGGAAGC